CCCCAAAACCCCAAAACCCCAAAACCCCAAAACCCCAAAACCCCATCACCATCATGGCTAATTGAAATTTTAATAAAGGATTTACTTCCTGTATCCTCCGAATCTACCGTCAATATCGGTTATTCTCCATTCGGCATCATCCAGATATTTCAAGTTAGCATATCTACGGATGGCTAAGAAATTCCAAAAGTTCAGCTCTAATTTTGAAACATTAGTTTCATAAGTGACGTAATGTATTTCTTTATCTCTGGCTTCAGAATCCGGAATAAGTCAAATTTCAGGATCCTTGTTGATAAAAGCGTTAAGTTTATAATTGGTGATGTACTTGACCATGACCTCCAGGTCGATACTGACCTGGCTTCCCATGTCAAAATCTTCAGAAATATAAACATGGCATCTAGAATTCATTTCTGAGTTGGTTCCTCTTCCCATGCCTCCAGATATATGAAAGTTAAAGTCAATTATGTCGATATCTATTGCACTTAGCAAGGAGCTATTTTCATTCTCAATTTTGAACCCGATATCTTTGAAGACTGCCTCAGACATCTCTTCATGAAGATCTTGTTTCAGGTCTGTGTTGCAGACCTGACCGATGCCGGTCAGGTCATGATCCCTGATCATCTTCAAAAGAGTGGTGTATGCAAGGCTGAAACCTTCTCTAAAACAATGTTGTGGCTCATCGAGCATATCATTCAGTTGCTGCAAAGTATGAAATTCATGAACATCCAGCTCTTTTATCGGTGGGATTACTGTCTTTTTATTATTAAAGACATAAGGGAAATCTTGCAACGAATTAAAATACTGCAAATAATTTGACATGCCAAATGTGTTCCTTAGCGAGTATTTCAGCAAAGAAGAGCCTTTCTTGGTGCTGGGGCCCGAAAATCGCTTGAATGCCTGCTTTAAATGGAACATTGATAATAATTTGACTATAATTATTTCATTAAGATTCTCTTTATTTGGGGTTTTGGGGTTTTGGGGTTTTGGGGTTTTGGGGTTTTGGGG